CATTTAAACGGTCAACAAGCATCATTCACCGAAGAGTCAATAAAACTGTTAGAAAATGTCACTTTTGCTATCGTCCAGTACGAAACATTCATCATCGTAACAGATGACAAAACCGTCCGACTAGGCCAATCTTTTGACCATTGTGCACATTTTGAATTCCCATTCAAAATTTTTTCTGCTGGCTTTTTGAACCCTGAACTGGACCTCGCTTTGGGGCTCGATTATGAGGTTATGGTCATTCGAAGGTCAATTTGGTACCCCTTCATTAAAAATCCTTTTGAATGCGCCTCAGACAACAGTGATCCGAAGAGTGAGAGCTACATCACAGCCATCCATGGCAAGGCTGTTATGTACAACATTGCTGATGAAGAGGAAGAGGCTGACAAGTTACATGAAAAAAATCTTTCAATTTCATCGTCTTCCTCTTTTCCGAGCCCACTAAGAGCTTCAAAGAATTTTTCACTTCACAAGTCATCACCATCACTCGTGAAGGCGAAGGGAACACAAAACAGCAACGGTTTACAGAATGGTCAAAATGAAGGTGAAATTTTGCCGTTGAACAGAAAGAAAAAGTTGCCCGAATTGAGAACAAAAGAGGAAATGTTGAACGATAGGAAGTTCCAGGAACTTTTTAAGGACATCGGCTCATCTTTCGTTGATAGCTCAAAGAAGATCATATCAGGCGCGGCCCCAGGAAAGCACGATGACAGCTACCAGCACAAAAACAGCGTCACAGACACCACAAAGACTCACGCAAAGATAAGGGTGACCGACAGTCTGGCTGGGGTGCCCCCGAATGGAACTGACAACGACGATAGCCATGAAATAAAGAAGAAAATGAAGAAGAAGAAAAAAGTGGCAAAAAAAAGTGCTGTCGACCAAAATGTATACAAAATGGACGATCAAAATGAATTGAAAAATCAACAACAGTCGCATCACTCACCAAAACCGCCACAAGTGAAGCAGTCCGAGTCCTCACCGAGACCAAGAAGCATTGGAAACACCAAGAGTAGTGAAGCACGCACAGTGGAATCTGTGCGCGGCACAGGTAGAGGTGACTCGAAGGAGGAAGGAGAAGGAAGAGGCAGTGAGTCACTCACGCGGAGACAAGCAGCGAGTGCGGCACGCATGGAACAGTCAGCAGGAGTCAGCGAGGAAGTCGCCACTGGCAACGGCAACGATGAGATCATCAGCATCATCGAGTCTTCCTCAAACGGAGCAGAAAGCGAAGCCAACAGCTCAGCAGACGATGAGCAAGCAGGAGACATGCGCGAACCATGCAGTCACGCACACAGCGCGGACACTGGCGCCAGCGGAGACACCATCAAAGGGAGTCATGCCAACAACAACAACAGCGACGTAGAAATGCATGCCCGTAGCAGCAACGACGATGCAGAAAGGCACGCCAATAGCTGCAGCAGCGGGGAGGAGAGTCGGGCAGAAGGTGACATTCACAGTGATGTTATTGAGGGCATGAAAAGTGACACTCATTACTGCGACGACCGTTTATTACCTCAATTATCACAGCATCAAAGTCTCAATGTTGAAGAGCAACATCAAATTAAGAGTACAACCGCCAGTCCAGGTGTCACACACAACTGCCAGCCACTTTTGGAGCCAACAGAAAAAATCAGTGTAAAAACCGTTAATAACCGCCCACCTGAAGTCAAAAAGTTCATATCACTTGACAGGCACTCTGATCTGACTTCGTCTTCGCCAGATCTTCTTCTCCTTCAGGCGCAGCTCGGCCAAGTGAAGATAACCGCCAAGCCAAGAAAGTCCGACCAATTATTGGCTCAATCCGGCACTCACGATGATCTTCACGCCAGGAAGGAACTGCCACTGATAACAGTCCACCTGATCCAGCGCTCTTTCACGCGCACAAGGAGCGAGTACTGCCTCGTGCGGACTGTTGAGCAGCAGCCCGAAAGAAGAGAAGGTTATGGTGAAAACGGTTTCTATGAATTCCAGATTCAGAGGCTCGCAAAATTGAGAAAAACCGTTGAATTACAACAAATAAATAATAATAGGAGTTTTGACACGAACAGGAGGGAGATGGTGTCGATCAGGCCTCTTCTTGCTGCGAAGGAGAAGCAGAATCAGACGAGGAAGGAAGCTAGAAACATGAGGCGGGACTTCATTAAGATGAAGGGTACAGACAGGCAACCTCTTGGCAACGTTGAACTTTCAATTCAAGTTTTCCATCCAAACACAACAAAGAAGTGACCTTTTATTTGTATTATATATAATAGAATTTAATGTATGTATGTTATTTAAATTATTTGTTTGTTTTTGAAACTTTCTTCTACATTTTTTTAGAGTAGACGCAACTCTCTCAAAAAAAAATTGAAATAATCTCAGAAAAACAAACTTTTTGAGAATAAAATCTTCTTGAGTTGCTTTTACTCTAATAAATTAATTTTTTTTTTATTAAATTAGTTTACTTAAGGTTTCCATTGCTCCAATGTCTTCTTTATTGGCTGCCGTTTCTTGGTAACAATTTGCTTCTTTTTTATTCCTTCTCCTTTCTCGGCCATTTCGGCATATCTTGTCATAGCAGGCACCAGTCCTTTGTCTGCTGCAATCTTGTAATACTTTGCAGCTTCTTTCTTGTTCATTTCAATTTCCAGTCCATAGTCGAGCATGACAGCAAAACTGAAGCTTGCCTCGAGGTTCTCCTTATCAGCTGCCATTTTCAAGTATTTAAACTGTTCCTTGATATCCTTTTTGACACCGTCTGCAGTGTGGACCTTTGTTGAGTACTGAGCAAATTCAATGCATTTTGAAGTACTTTGCTGACTCTTTCCTGTCAATTTCCACACCTTCACCGGCATCAACCATCATTGCGTATTTCAGCATTGAATCAACTTTGCCCAAATCAGCCGCTTTTTTGAAATAAAGGGCGCTTTCTCTCTTGTTCATTCCAATTCCATTTGATCCTTTTGATAAGATTAATGCCAAATCTCGCATCGCTTCAATGCATCCTTCATCAGCTGCCTTTCTCAGTAATTCAAGACCTTCCCTTTCACGATGACAGTTGCAAATCAATTCGTTTGCAGCCAAGTAGACTTTCATGTTATTTTCTGCTTTCACAGCCATCTTTTTGCATCTCTCCGCTTTTTCTTTGTCTGCTTCAACACCGTCGCCGTTTTGAAGCATTTTTGAATACTCAAGCATTGATTCGGAATGACCTTTTTTGATTGCCTTTTTCAGATAGAAAACTGCTTCTTTCTTGTCAGTTTTGACACCTTCACCGTTCTTCAACATGACGGCATAGTTGTACATCAAGTTGATGTCATTTTCATCTGCTGCTTCTTTGTAGAGACGAGCTGCTTCTTCTTTGTTAACAGAGACGCCTTTTACTGCCCTCAAAAGGGAAGCATAAATGCATTTTGATTCTTTTTTCCCCTTGTCTGAAGAGATCTTGAAATAACGAGCAACTTCTTTTATTTCGTCTTGTACACGTTCCATCGCCGATTCCTAATCTGAGCGAGTAAATGTGCATTGCTTCTGGGCTTCCTTTGTCTGCTGCTTCTTTAAGGTACATCAAACTGGTAGCTGGGTCACTTGGGACACCGTCACCATTGAACAAAATAATTGAATAGGCAACCATTGAATCTATATTTTTAAGTTCAGCACTTTTTTGAAAGTAAAAGGCTGCTTTTCTTTTGTTTGATGAAACTATTTCACCATTGTAATACATTTTGCCGCAGTTGTAAAGTGAATTGGATATATTTTGGTCAATGTAATTAATATAATTTTGATACGTTTCTTTGTTAATAGAATCTGTTATGAAACTTGGATTTGTTCGCAATTCTTGCGTTATTTCATCAAAGGTGGGGCTGTTTTCGGGATTTTGTGACCAACTTTTTTCAATTAATTCTTGATATGCTTTCAAAATTGGAAAATCAAATTTGGGTCTGACTCCATTTCTAATTTTATTTTGTATATCATCCACATTTTCTCCATCAAAAGGTCTTTTGTTTGATTAGATCTGATATGCAATTATTGAAAAAGCGTAAATGTCTCCTTCTTTGGTATATGAGGTAAAATTTGATTCAATAATTTCTGGAGATAAATAGAAAATTGCATTTTCATCGTACTTTTGGCGGAATAATTTTGATATACCAAAATCCGAAATCTTTATTTTGCAATCTTTATCAAGGAAAATGTTACTTGGCTTTAAATCAGAGTGTAATATTTCTTGTGAATGTAAGAAAGATAAAGTAGCTGCAATTCCATATAGAATAATAAGCTTTTGAGTATCATCTAATGTTGCTTTCGAGCGTTCATTTTGATTTAGGTAAATAATATCATTTAATAATGATTGTTCAGTGTATTCTGTAATTATTGATGGGTTTTCCTCATTATTGAAATCAATATCAAGCAATTTAATAATGATTGTTCAGTGTATTCTGTAATTATTGATGGGTTTTCCTCATTATTGAAATCAATAGAAGAAAAACCAATATATTTTATGATTGAAGGATAATTTAGATTGGTTAATACCTTGTTGTTAAGCAAGAAATCATTATATATTGAGCTTTTCATTATATCAACTTGCTTTTCTTTGGAGCTTAATGTTTTTACTAGTAAGATATCTCCCTTTTTGGCTTCTTTGGTTTTGTAAACATTTCCTAAAGGCCCTTCTCCAATTTTATCGAGAAGTTGTAATTGTGCAAGATCATATGCATCACCCATTTGGTTCATTTATAAAAAATGAGTAAAATTTTGAGGGAAGTTCATTATTTTTTTGATTGATGTGTTTCCTCACAATTTTTCTTTTGATTTTTTTATATTTTTAAAGCATTTATATCTTTAAAAATTGATTTAAAAAATATATTCATTTGATACATATAAAATTTAAAATTAATAATATGATATTAAAGTGACTTTAAGAAATCATTAATGAATTTCAATCATCATATTTTTTATTCTTGGTTCAATTAGCTTTTCCGACGTTGGGATTAAAAATTTATTTACTATATAATAATCAAGAAACCGACGTAGTCTAATGGTAAAACGTGGTGCTTTCATCTCCTATTTCAGGGTTCGATTCCCTGGGTCGGTATTTTTTTGCATTTTATAAAGTGAAATAATTTTTTTTTTTCACCATATGATAGGTCAATTTTATAAAAAGCGACTGACAAAAAAATATCAACAATATTAAAGTGCTTCCAAAAAAGATAAACCACTTCTTATAAAAAGTTTAACTTTTTGAAGACATTTCAATGAAAACTCGTTGCTAAGTGGATTATCGTTTTTAAACCACTTTAGTAAACTAAAAATCAAAAGCAAGACCACTTTTTTTAAAATTTTAGGTCAAAGATAGGTCAAATCAATGTCAAAAAAGGTCTGAGTTTTGAATTTCAGTTTAATTATTTCAGCATTTGAAATAAGATATGAAAATGCTGGTGTCAAATTTTCCTCATTTCACATCACTTTCCAATAAGTGAACAAAAAAACAAACAAGATTTTAAAACTGATTTCCAAAATGTATTCAATATAATATATTTATATAATTCAAAAAACAACATAAAATAACAACATTAAATAATCAATTATCCTCAACAACTTCCTCATTATCATTATTTTCACTATTTTCGTCAACACTTTTATTTTCAGATTCATTTTTTTGATTTTTGCCTTTTCTCATTTTTTTTGCCTTTTCTTTTAGAGCGTCGATATCGATATCGAGTGTCTGCGCCAACTTCTGGAGCTGCTTTGGAGTTTTCCTAGCCATTTCCTTCTGTGATATGCCAGAAGCCATTACTTTTTGTTTTTCTTTTTCTAATTCTTTTCTAATTAATTCTGCCTTCATTGCCTGTCTCCTCTTTTCCTCTTTTTTCTCCTCAATTGCCTTTAATTTCAGCTCGTAAAGCTCTACTTTCTCGTTCATCTTTGCTTCCTCGATCAACTGGTTTCTATACGCGTTAGCGACGTGGTCCTCCTCAATTATCCTCTTATCAATTGCCTTTTCTCTTCTTTTAAAAAGTTCCTCATTGAATTTTTCATTCATTCTCATTTCTTTTTCTTTCAAATTTTGCATTAATATTTGGTTCTGGCTCTCAATTTTCTGATCCATCTCAATTTTTATTTGACGGTATCTTTCGCTCTTTTCAAACAGCTTCTGTTTGAATTGTTCCCTTTTTTCATCCCTTTCTTTACAGACCTTTAAATACTCTTCTTGTTGCTTCTCAGCTTTTTTCTCGGTCTTTCTTCTTTTCTCTTCAAGTGTCTCTTGTTGATTCTGACGAACTTTTTCAATATGTCTCAATTTTTTTTCTTCTTTTTCTTGGATTTCTTTCTCTCTCTGTTTCTGCTCTTTCTGCTTCTGTTGGGCAAGATGAAGCTCTCTTTCTTGTAGCTCTTTTTGGGCTTTGTTATATTCTTCTAACCGTTTTTTTTCGGTTTCTTTTGCTAATCGAATTGCAGCTTCATTTTTTTGGCGCCTTTTTTCATCATTTTCTAGGAATTTTTGATGCTTGTTCTCTTGTATCTCTTTCTGACGTTGCTCAAATCGTCTTTCTTGTTCTTCTTTTTCTTTGAATTTCCTATCGGCTTCTAAACGTCTTTCTTTTTCTTTTTTCTGTTCGTATTCAAAAATTTCTTTTTGTCTTTGCTTCTCTTTTTTAATGGCTTCGCGTTTTTCTTCTTCACGACGCTTGTCATCTTGCATTAGACGTTCTTTGGCAGCTGTTTCTTCAGCTAATATTTCTTTCTCAATGAAAATGTTGAGGATCATTTGTTCAGCTTCTCTTCGATTCATCATTTTCATCTTTTCAACACGCTCTCTCTCGAAATTTACATTTCTCTCGTTTTCTTCATCTAATGTGACTTTCCTACAGCTTTCTCTGGTACTGGTACAATTACCATCATCAGAATTCTTCATGGAACTATTGGTTCGAGCTTGACTACTTTCACCATTCAGTAATGGAAGACGTGCAATTCGATCTCGCTCATTTTTAATGATAAGAATGTTTTGATTGACTCGTTGAACTAGCCTATCTCGAACTGATTTGTGCAGTTTGGGATCACGAGTATAAACACGAAGATCACTGGTGGTTGGATAAGTGATATCTGATATGTGAATTCCAAGATTTTTACAAGCTTGTCGTGTTAACGGATCTGTAAATGGTCGAGGATTGGCTGGATCAAATTTGTCAATGGAAAAACCTTTCGATTTACGAAGAGGTTCTGTATTGGCGGGAATTGGTCTGACAATATGAGGCTGCGGTGATAGTCGAGAGGATGGATTTGATCGGGTTCCTTGAGTTAAGGATTTCTTGTTAGAAAGAAGAGCTGCACGCGGAGGAGGTAATAAATTGGAATCAAATTTAGTATTTGCTTCTTCATTGGCGCTATTGTTCTCGTTTAAATCATTATCTTGATCGTTGTTTTCATTCTCATCTTTTTCAACAACGTCATTATAATCTTGTTCTTGCTTATCTTCTTCATTATTTGTATTTTCCTCATTATTTTTATTCTCATCGTTATTTGTATTTTCTTCTTGCTCATTTTTGCTTTCTTCTTCATTGTTAGTAGGAGTTTGATCTTCACTATTAACTTGATCATTGTTTTGATTTTCATCTTCTGCCTTGCTTTCAACGTTTTCATTTTCATTTGGCTTTTCGTTCTCATATTTATTTTCTTCAATATCTTTTTTGTCTTCTTCTTCCTCATTCTTTTTAAGTATCCGAGGTAAATGGGTTTTTTCCATGGCTGTGTCAGTGTAAAATACTGGAGGCTCATTTTTTTCTACCGAATTTTCATCGTTTTTTGTCACAGCTGAGGGTGTGGAAAGCTGGATAGCTAATGAAAGAATGTTTTCATTTAACTTATTTTTATCTTTTTCTGAATTTTCATTTAAGTCAGGATTTGGAGTATCGTTTTGTTCATTTTCGTTATTTTCTTTGTCATTTTCTGTATTTTCATCATCTGGTGCTTCAAAAACACCAACATCATCTTCTTTATCCTCTTCTTTGTTTTCTTCTTCATTATCATTGGCAAAAAAAATTGATTCATTTTCATTACTAGATTCGCGCGAGGACTGTTTATTATCTTCATCTTTTTTGTCATTAAGAAATACAGTATTTGAATTGTCTTTAACGTCTTCACTTTGATCGTTGGGCTTTTCTTTTTCTTCATTTTCTCCTAATAATGGGAGAAATCGATCTAGATTTAGTAAAGGACGCTTTTTAGGAACTTCATCATTTAAATCGAAATTTGAAGTATCTTCTTCCCTTTCATTACTACTTTCGTTTGGTTCTATATCTTGCTTTGATTCATTTTTATCACTCTTGTTACCCTCATTGTCTTCATCATCTTCAAAAACTTCAAACCCGTTCTCATCATCTATATTATCGTTGTTTGAATCATCGCCATCAAACTCAAATTCAGACATTGATATAAAATAACGAATTCCCCTCTTTTCAATGAATACTTTCAAATTTTTTTTTTTATGAAAACAAAATAAAAATAAGGTTTTATCAATAATTATATTTTTATGAACATTCATAATCATTTAAACAACAACAAAACAAAGTAAACTGAAGCATTGTATATAATTGAAAAAGTGATTTGATTCATTTTATCCTCACAATTATAAAATAATTTATTCATTTTTTCAATTCAATAAATCATTCAATTTTAATACTTTTGCCTTCATTTGTTCTAGCCAATATTAACATATTATCATTTCCAATCTTTAATTATACTTTGAATTGTTTGTCTTTCAATAAGAACTTAATATTAAATTGAAAAAATCGTAAATTGTATCTTTTGAAATTGGATTGAGTTTTACATTTTTGAATCAATATACCATTTAGATGGCATTTATGATTTTTTACCCGAAATATGACAAATTTAATAAACAAATAATTTCTAATCTTTAATTATTTTTTTTAAAATTCAATCTATTGCGGCGCAATGGAGTATAGAAACGCAACCTCCGGCTTTTTCAGGTATCAAACGATTACGAAGATGAATTGCAAGTATGCAATTTCATTCACTGCTGTTGACATAAACAAATTGCAATATTTTTGAGAACTCGGTTCATAAAGCCCACTGACATGATGATGAAGGCTCAAATCCGCCTTCTTTGGTCTTCGTTCAAAAGAAGGACCTGCTCGTTGAAGACTTCTATTTCAGCAAGAATTGACATCAAAGGAAAACGTCGACGAAATCACAATCATTTTGAGAGGCTGCTATGCCGATACTGGCAACAGTCAATATTGGTCAAATTCGTATGTTCAAACTGAAAATTGTCACTTTTCTAACGATCCAATTGAAACTTGTTCTTCAACTCAATTTTGGAAGCTGCCAAGGTCAAATAACACCAGGTCAATTGATAATCACATCACTTTTCACCGAATCAAAAGAGTTTTCAAAATCCAATTATTTTTCTAACTCGCTTCAATTCACGAAAACTGACTTGTTTAGTCAATCAAATAAGTTCACAAGTCCTCGATCATCCACTCCCTCGTATGAGCCGGGCCAAACTCATCGTTTTACGCCATCTAATTCTTTCACTCCTTCTCAAGATTTCAGTAAATCATCTGTGTTTACAACTTCTGCAATCTTTAGTGAATCATCAGATTTCACAAAGTCTGTTTATTTTAGTAATTCAAATCACTTCACTAAATCTTTTGACTTCACCAAATCATTCGAATTCTCGGATTCTAGCACTTTTAACTTGGGTAACGACAGCGGATCATCTGGCAAAAATAATACTGGTGTGATAATTGGAGCTGTTGTTGGCGCTGTGGCAGCTGCAGCAGCCATTGGCGGAATTGCTGCTTTCTTCAATATTAGGAAAAGACGTCTTGTTATCTCTGACGTTGACGTTGTAAAGGAAACAAATTCATCTGTTACATTTGACAACGAATTAGATAAAGTTATGGATAAAGACGATCCTTTTGCTAATGATTTTGGTAATGAATCGCAAGATATTTAAATAAAAAAACTTTAGCTGTATTCAATATTGGTTTTGTAATTTATTAAGACTGTAATTTATTTCAACGTATCAACAAAACTTTTGAGATATTGAAAATAAAATAAAACCATTTTAAA